AGCAGGAAGAGAAGAGGCAAAAAGCAGAGCGGCTGCACCAGCAGCAGAAGCATGAGACGCAGATGAAGGACATGCAGGCCCAGTGCACGAGCAACATGAACGAGCTCCAGCAGCTGCAGGTACCCATCCCTCATGTCTCAGCCTCTTGGAGCTGCCTGTGCACTGTTTCTGCTCCAGCACAAGGAGCATGTCGTAAGAATTGGCTGCAGAGGAGTGTCAGTGAGCTAGAACTGATGTCCCCCTGCTCTGCCTTGAGAGGTTTTTGTGGCCATGTCTAAACATGCCCTGGAGCTCAGAGCTCTGAATGCCTCTGGCAGATGCAAGTCCTGTTCGACCACAGGATTTACAGTCCCAGCTGCTTAATGGGCATTCTGTTTTGTGATCTGTGTTTAGAATGAAAAGTGTCACCTCTTAATTGAGCATGAAACCCAGAAGCTCAAGTCCCTGGATGAGAACCACAACCAGCACATGAAGGAGTGGCGGGACAAGCTGAGGCCACGGAAGAAGGTAGTTCCTCCTTGGCAAGAGCAGGGTGTCCTGCTTGGCTGGTTGGAGGGGACACTGTCCATAGCTACAGTACAATCTCAAATACATCTCTGTGTATTTGTGCGTTTCCTTCTGCTTAAGGCCCTGGAAGACGAGCTGAACCAGAAGAAGCGTGAGCAGGAGATGTTCTTCAAGCTGAGTGAGGAGGCAGATGGACAGACTCCGGCATCCCCAACCAAGCACGCCAAGTTTGTCCTCTTCAGCTCCGCAGAGAGCTCATAACACCTCGCGGCTGGCAGGCCACCAGCTGGTACTTGCTGTGTCCTCCTGGGCTGCAGGTGGGCAACCTGGACTTGGAAGACCCTCTCGGCAGCCTCTTCTCACAACAGCACCCTCCTGTCCCCTTGGTCTGTCTGGGATAAATGTGGCCTCTGTACTACACTGGAGGATGCTGACTGGAAGTTTTGGTGGCTTTTCCGGGAACTGGCCTGCTCAGCACAGCTCCACATTGGGAAGCCGGGCAGGACCCTTCTTGCGATCGTACTTACACTGTTAGCTGGATGCGTCGCCTCTCGTGAGCCTGGTGCTCACCGAGCTTGTCAACTTAGACTGAAGCAATAACTGCTCTGAACAGGGAAAAACAGGCAGTGGCTCCTGCCTCCTGCACAGGGGTTACCAGCCTCTCTCTCCACTGTGGCTGCTCCTCCTCACGGTCCTCTGTAAGGACTAGTCTGGGGCAGAGCAGCTTTGGCATTGTCTTAGGCTAACCTTGGCCTTGTGGCCCCCCAACACTTGCCTTAGATTTATTTCTATTTACTGTGGCCTTTTCTTGCTCAAGGGAGACAGTGATTTGGCTTGTTTTTGCCTCTGAGGAGGAAGGGTTGCGTTTCTTCTTTCCTCTTCCTCCCTATACAGACTATGCAGAAAGGGGACCGGCTGGATGCCCTTCCAAAGATGCTTCTGCTTCTTCATTTGCTGTGATTGCTGGCACCACAGTCCCTCTGGCACCTAGCTAACACTGTCTTATCAGAGACTGGACTATGGCGTAATTAAACTGTTCAGCTGGCTGCAGGCTTTTGTCTCTTAAAGAAGTGTATGTGCAGAGGGGGAGGTTTGTAACAGTGCTCCGTCCTGTGGTGAAACAGTGAGGTATTGGTCACGGTCATGTGCCTTATGGTCAGGACAAGTGAGGGGCAGAAGGGTATTATTGCCAGAACTCTCATGATCACACATGTGCTTGAGAGTTTTGTTTTGGTTTTTTTAAGTGCTATATATGTGTTGGCCATGTGGGTCAGCCAGCCTGGCCACTCTGCAGCGAGGGTTGTAGGCTGCAAAGCATCATTTGGAAGGAATAAGGGAGTCTTGAAACAAGGGATGCTAGGGAAGAGGAGATGCGGAGACAGGTCACGGTGGCTTGTTACTCTCAGCATCACTTTTTCCGCGGATGTGTCATCTCCTTATGATGTGCCACGGTTTCTTGGATGATTCTCCTGGCTTTCAGCTTGGGCTCGTGCTGCAGAGTGGCAGAGCAGCGGCAGGTCCAGCCCTCTGTTCCTTCTGCTCCATGGTGATGTGTCTGGGTTGGGCTGCCTTCCTCCACCTGCACAAGGCAGTCCTTGGCTGAGCTGCTGGGTAGGACCCAGAGCACAGACCTGGGTAGGGCGACAGAGACCTCACTGGGCAGCACCTTCCTCTTTACACAACCAAAAGGTGTAAGGTAGCACTTAAGTTTTTCTCTCTGTTGATCTCTGGACAACGTTGTTTGTTTTAGGCCTGCTTCTCGAGCAAGAAAAAACCACTGCTTAAGAAAAAAAAAAAAGTTGTTATTTTAAAGTCTCGTGTTGATTTAGAAACATACTGGCATTTCAGGAAAAGGTGGTATGTGATGTGCTACACTTCTAGGTACCTAGGTGAAGGAGCCAGCCCCCAGGTCTTTAACACCTTTTTTATCTGAGGTGTGCATTTACATTTACTACCCATTTAGAGTTCATAACACATATTTATAAGCTTCCTGCAAACTAGCAAGACTACATCTATTTGGGCCATTCCAAGTTTCTTCTGAATCCACTCCATTGATGTCTTTATTAACGAATATAGCCTAGATGGAGATCTTAAGGGCAGCAGACTGCATAGCAGCTTTTCAGTAACTAGCCTGTCCTCCTAGGAAGTCCGCCTGTCCCATCTCCAAAAGCATTGACTGTGCCTTTCAGGTATGATAGCACCAGGTTGGGTGCTGATGTAAAATGAATGAATGCAGGGGGTTGTTCCTGAGCAATGTGCTGGTTTGAGCCTTTTAATTGCATTAGAATGTGTGCTGGCAGCCCCAGCGTTTTTGTTCCTGGTCCCACTGGGGTCAGGCTGGACGTATTCTATAAAATGGTTGTTGTCACAGAAATCAGTACCCGGTGCCTGTCCTTCCACGTGTTACACGTGACTTGCAGAAGGATGTCCTGCAGCACACTGTTTGTAACATACCTCCTCCAGCTGAAGGGCATTGCTGCCTCTGACTGCCACCTTGGCACCAGCTCTCCCTGGATATTGTGCAGCCATGAGGAAGGAGACTATTTCTGGGGACTTTTAAAGAGCTGATGTGATGCCCTTATGGGTAAATCAGTTGTCCCTTTCTCCAGTCCAGCTTATTTGCAGTCTGGAGCTAGCAACAGTTTTGATTTTGCTAATTAGAGGGAGGGAATGGTT